AAAAAAAAAAAAAAAAAAAGTCTAATTTCTAGTGCGAATACTGGTTATGCAGGGTATTAAAATTTCTGATAAAGGTTTCAGTAAAAACTAATTCTCTCCAAGTATGTGCATGTATTATTTAATGACATGATCCTTAAGTGTATGTTACCCAACCAACCTGTTGCAAATCATGCTATAACTTTTGAGTAATGTGACACACAAGAATAAATATAACTAACTGCATTTGTTAAGTTGCCAACCAATTAAAAATTACTCCATATTTTAAAGTAAAGATATAATTTTAGAAATATTTTCTGTAAGATATTAGCATCTGACTGGGAATGTAAGTCCATTATAATATGTATTTTGTGTATAGCTTCCTTACTCCTATATATATGTACCTTCTTATTTTTCAGAAGTTTAAGAAATAGCACAAATAGAATGAACATATGTATTACTACAAGCCAGAATTAATATTTTTCCCATTTACTTGGGGTCTTTATTTCTTTTGAACGAGAAATTGATATTTAGATACAAAACTGAAGTATGCTTTAATTACCTTGTTTGGTCACATTTCCCTTCTACCTCCCTTCTTGCTAGCAGCACTACTTTTGGGAACTATGTATCTTTCCAACCCATTCTTTATAATTTTACATAAAAATTTATCCATAAACAATGTTTGGTATTAGGGTTGGTTAGTGTTGATTTCATACAAATTCACATAGATATCATTACAATATGTTCATCACTTCATTTTTCTTCATTCTACATGATTGCTTATATCTTTCTCTTTTAATACATAGACTTAATTTGTTGTACTTAACTGCTAGAGTGTTCTACTGTTACTATACCATATTTTATTCATCTATTTCACAAGTGACAGGCATCTGTGTCCCAACTTTTGGCTACTATAACTCATGCTGCAATGAATTACACAGCTACAGACTAGTACATGATTCCCTGTATACATGTGTCAGTTTCTTGGGTATATGTATATATACAAAGTCCCACCCCTTATCTGTGGCTTCACTTTCCATAGTCTCAGTTACCCGTGGTCAACTGCAATCCAAAAAAGGGTAAGTACAGCACAATAAGGTATTTTGAGACCAGAGTCACATAACTTATATTACAGTATATAGTTATGATTGTTCTATTAGTATTGTTTTAAATCTATTATTGTGTCTAATTTTCAAACTGAACTTTATAGGAAAAAAACAAAGTATATATAAGGTTCAGTACTATCCAGATTTCAGGCATTCACCAGGGGTCTTGGAACATATCCCCCACAGAAAAGGGGGCACTACTGTACTCAAGAGTGGAATTTCTGGGTATTCTGGAATGTTTTAGAATTTCTTTCCTACCCAATGTTTTAAAAACATTCTCTGATAAAGCTCTTATAAAGTTTTCCTTTTTGCATTTTAGTCTTCAATACTTTTGGAATTCTTAAGAAATAAATTTTTGAATGTATGATGATGGTAGAAATCTATCAATATTACTTTTCCATATAAGGAGTCAATTACCCTGAGACCATTTTTTAAATTATCCGTGATTTCCCCACCAATTTGGGATACCAACCTCTATCAATTACCAATTCCCCATAAATTTATGCATATATTTCTGGATTCAATATTCTGTCATAATCTCAATTTTCTATGACTGCTTCAACAATTTTTATGATTATAGTTTTACAAATCATATATGTATCAAAACACATAATAATAATTTTATCTCTTAATTTCAAATCCTATACCTCTTATATCTCTTTTCTTAATGCATCTGGTAGGGCTTCCAGGAACAAGCTACTTAGTGTCCATGTGTGTGGTGGGAGTTTTGGGGTACAGGATTTCATTATAGTATGATACTTATTAAACACACAGTATTTTAAGTTTTGAATTGCTGCTGAAAGACCTCCCACATTGATGTCGCTTTAATGTAAAATGAATTTTCTGAAATACTATTAAATATAAATTGTGCTAAAGGTTTTCCTAAATCCAAGGCATTCATAGAGCTTTAATGAGTATGAATTCTCTGGTGTCTAATGTGATGTGACTTTTGGCTGAAAGCTTTCCCACATTCACTACACTGATAAGGTTTTTCACCAGTGTGGATTCTCATATGCAGAGCAAGAGTTGAGAACTGAGAAAAGGCTTTCCCACATTCATTACAACCATAGGGTTTCTCACCTGTATGGCTTCTCATGTGCACAGTAAGAGATGAGCTTTGACAGAAGGCTTTCCCACATACCTTACATTCATAAGGCTTATCACCTGTATGAATTCTCACATGTACAATAAGTGAAGTGATCCGAGAAAAGGCTTTTCCACATTTATTACATTCATAGGGTTTCTCTCCTGTATGAATGTTGTGATGTTTAATGAGGTATTGTTTTTGCCTGAAGATTGTTCCACATTCATTACATTTATAGGGTTTCTCTCCAATATGAATTTTCTCATGCTCAGTGAGATTTGATTTACCACTGAAGGCTTTCCCACATTCCTTACAGGTATAGGGTTTCTCTCCAGTATGACTTCTCTGGTGTCTAATGAGGCTTGACTTCTGAATAAAAGCTTTCCCACACCCCTTACATTCATAAGGTTTCTCTCCAGTATGGATTCTCTGATGGATAATGAGGTTTTCCTTCTGGCTAAAGGCTTTCCCACACTCATTACATTTAAAAGGTTTCTTTCCACTATGGATGTTCTGATGTTTAATGAGGTATTGCTTCTGGCTGAAGGCTCTTCCACACTGATTACATTCAAATGGTTTCTCTCCAGTATGAATTTTCTCATGCTCAGTGAGATATGATTTGCCATTAAAGGCCTTCCCACATTCCTTACATGCATAAGGTTTGTTTCCTGTATGATTATTCTGGTGTGTAATGAGGGTTGGCATCTGAATAGAAGCTTTCTCACATTCATAAGGTTTCTCTCCAGTATGATGTTTCTGATGAGAAAGGAAGCTTCCCTTCTGGCTGAAGGCTTTTCCGCATTTTTTATTACATTTATATGATTTCTTTCCTGTGTGACTTCTCAAATGGAGAGTAAGGGATGAGACTCGAGTGAACACTTTACCACATTCAGTACATTCATGTGATTTCTCGCCGGTATGCATTTTCTTACGCTCTGTGAAGTTTTGTTTCAGGCTAAAGGTTTTTCTACATTCATTACATTCATAAGGTTTCTGTCCAGTATGAATCTGATCATGCTGAAGATGTAATTCATGCTAAGGGCTTTCCAACATTCCTATCACACACACAGATTTTCTCCTAGGAGATTTCCCTATATCTACTGAGATGTAAAAAGGATGAAAGATTTTCCATACTAATAAATTCATATGGTTTCTTTTCAATATTAATTCTCAGGAATTAAAGAAGTTAAATTTATGATGAAAGACTTCTCACATCGATCACCCTGAGATGAGACAATTACAAAAAGGGATGAAATACAGCATTCTGTTTATATTCTTAAGGGTTCTTGCCTACACTGCTTCTCTCATATTTAAGTATAAAGTATGTATGAGTATAAATCATGTTGCAAACTCTTTTAAACTGAGTCCCATACAGAGAAATACAATCTTGAAGAATCAATGACTGTGTTCAGAAGAAATACTTTCCTGTTTCCTAGGTTTTCTGAGTTTTTCCTTAGTCTGAATTTTCAGAGAAAGATGAGACTTAACTCACAAGTCTTTCATGTTGTGTCTTTATCTGTTTATAAACTTCCCAGGCTTCTAAAAGAAAGTACAAAGAAATCATCATTAAAAAGAGTTAATAAGTGTAAAATATTTAGTGCCTGGCATGTAGTAAGCATCCAATAAGTTAGCTCATCATTATCATTAACATAATAGCACTAATATCTGTGAATTTTCCCACTATTGACTAAAATTTCAGAAGTGTGCTACTGTGAAATAGACTCTTTCTTCAAGCCTGATCTCTCAGTATAAAAGAAAGCTTATAGCCTAGGCAACAAAGTGAGGCCCCATCTCTAAAAAAAATTTTTTTAAAAATTAGCCGGTTGTGGTAGCATGTACCTGTAGTCCCAGCTACTCAGGAGGCTCAGAATTCTTGAGAGGGTGAGAATCTCTTGAGCCTGGGAATTCTAGGATGCAGTGAGCTATTATGACACCACTGTACTCTAGCCTAGGTGACAGAGTGAGACTCCATCTCTCTCTCTCTCTCTCTCTCTCTCTCTCTCTCTCTCACACACACACACGCAGCAAAAAACCCTAAAGTTCAAATATAATTAACATTCATAGGTACATGTAGTTTTTACTGTTTTCTCTTTTTTTTTTTTCTTCAGACAAGGTCTTCCCCTATCACCCAGGCTGGAGTGCAGCGGTTTGATCACAGCTCACTGCAACCTTACCTTCCACGGCTCAAGGGATCATCCTTAAGTCCCTCCTCAGCCTCCCAAGTAGCTGTGACTACAGGTGCAAGCCACTTCTCCTGGCTGATTTTTTTTCAAATTTTTTGTAGAGATGATGGCGTACTATATTGCCCAGGCTGGTCTTGAACTCTTCACCTTGAGCAATCCTCCCACCTTTGCCTCCCAAAGTGCTGAGATTACAGGTGTGAGCCACCTTTTTACTGCTTATAAATGTAACCTTGCACACTTCATAAATCAGTCAAATAAGAGAAAACATAAAGAATAGGCAACAAACAGGATGAATGGACAAACACGTAAGATTTAAAGAGCCTAGGATGATGGGACAAAAATAAAATGAACAGAAAAATTTAAATAAGGTATTTATTCCTCTATGTCTTCCTGAAATTCCATTAAAATGACAGTAAAAGAGTGAAGAGAAGCACATACTCACAAAAACTAAAAGGCTAAGAGATACCACTGGACAAAAAGCATTAGGAAACTTGGAAGGAAAGCAAATAGAGGACTGTAAATTAACAGGAGAACTGACCAGCTTAAATGAAAAGTGAGCAGATGAGGATGCCAGCTAGAAACAAGGTAATTTGTAACACAGATGTTTTCAGAGAGGCTCTATAACTGGAGAGACCAGGCAAGAGTGGAAGATGGAGCATATAAAATGATTATAAAAGGAGCAGCTGCTGTCCCCACCTCTCCTAATGGAAATGGGAAGTTATTATTCAGACAAACTAAAACTGAGAGGCTCCAAATGTAATGATGACAGGCAAAGTAAATGAGAGGACTATAGTAAAAAGAAAAGAATGGGTAAAAGTTTATACATAGTAGGGGCCCAAACCCCTACTTTCTACTGTTAAACTCCAAGAATGCTGGTGGTTGCCAGGTATCAGATGATGGAAGGATTCTTTTCTGAAAAAATGAGAAGACCATGAGAGCACCTACAGATACTAACATGTGGAATCATATAAGAGAAACACCTGTATTCCTAACTGATTGCTACACAGTGATGACCACTATTTTACAAGTCCCACTCATGTACACAGAGATTATAATAATCTTTCTGGTACCTGAATATTAAATATTAATGTAGAGCTAAAGATCACAAACACATTTTGATGAAAGCCCTGACATCAAAGACAGATCAAAACAAACAGGATAATACAAGGCAAAGAATCGAAGAACATGCACCTGTAACACTATAATTAATATCACAGAAAGCTAAGAAAAGATTATTATAGCAATGAAATATTAACAGGGTTCTATAAAGAAACACTTCTGGAAATAATATGATAAAAATTTTAAAATTCAGTATGTTGTGGAAAAAAAGTCTAAAAAAAATCTCTTAGAATAAAAAAAGGAAGAATGGAAGGAAGGAAAGGAGAAAGAAAGAAAAAGAGGAATGATTGGAAAATTAGTGGATTAGTGGAAGAATCCAGGAGATTCAATGTCTACTAAAGGAATTCCAAAGAAAGTATGAAGAAAAATCAATGCAGGAAATTTTCAGAGAACTAATACAATAAAAATTTCCAGAATTATACATCATGAGTCTACATACTTAACAGGCCCACTGAGTACAAAGAACATTCCATTTAAGAAGATCTCTGCTAAAGCACATCATTGTGAAATTTCAGCTAGGAATAAAAAGATCCTAAATGTTTTCAAAAAAATATTTATTATATAAAGAGAATGATGATTGCCTTGTTTGTGTTCAAGATTACAGACAAGGATAAAATACTGGCTTTTCTCTCAATGAGCTTCAACGTATGTCTGAGACATCAGAATGAAAAATACAAATATAAGATGGTATACACTTAGGATCCAAGTTGCCCTGGATGCTGTGATACGAGATGGGAGCTCAGAGATTGGAGAGATTGGGCTAGATATTTTAATAAAAATGAAGCTCAGGGTTAAATGAGGGATATTTAACCTTGATAGACTGATCAAAGGCAAAGATGCAAAGAATTTCATATATATAAAGAGGGAGGCAAGAAGTATACGACGGGTAATATTTAAAGCTGGAATAATAACCACAATCACCAAGTGTGTAGTGGAGTGAAGAGGGAATTGAAAATATACTAATATCCCCATTACCCCTAGTGGGGAGTAAATAGATATTGTCTAAAGAAATCAAGGATCAAGACCATAAAGGTTATTAATATAAAGGCAACCAAAAAAAGGGGAAAAAATATAAACTTGCCAAATTTTCAGAAGGAAAGACATACAACAAAACAAAAAAATTCAAAGATCCTATAAAGATATAAAGATGAGGCAGAATTTAAAATAGAATACATAAAATTAAATAAAGGAAACAATATGAATCATAGTCATATCAGTAAGTACAATTAGAATAAACATAACTATTCAAAGAAAAGGCTTATATGGCAAATTCTCAGGCCTCACACCAGACCTCCTGAATCAGTAAATTTGAGGATGGGACCCAAGTAATCTGTATGTAACATGATTTTGATGCATGCCTAAGTTTAGCAACTACTGATATAGCAAAACCCACCTAAACTCTATATGCGAGGGCTGTCTGGAAAGTATCCAGCTAGAAAGTAACCATTCTCATTATATTAACATGGCTGGATACTTTCCAGACAGCCCTGTATACAAGATACACATCTAAAACAATATGTATCAGAAATGCTGAAAATAAACAAAATACAGAATAAAGAAGATAATCTATAAAAACTAGAGAGATCCAAGATACAACACATTAGTAACTCAGAGGACAACACTCTCTTCACCTATGAAATCAAA